ATCAAAGGTATCATTCTCATCACTGTTTCTATCTAAACACATTGCAGATCCTCGGTTGGGTATTGAAAATTGTTTAATTTCCGCTGTGCATGTTAAGTAAATTCCCAACACCTAAAATACAACAGCATAACGAGGTTCAGTTTGTCCCAAATTTGGTTACTGGGTGGCTCATTTGGTGAAGATCTCAATAGCACTAAAGCTGGTTGGCAGGTATATTTTCTCCAAATTACTTGGTTGATCATAATTTTTTTTCATTCATCTAACAGATTAGAATGCATGTTATTTCAGGTTAGCCCTGATCTCTACGGGGATAACAACACAATCATTTTCGAGTTCATACGATAGACAATTTAAAAAAGAACGCCGGCTCATATCAAACAGAAGTTAATTAATAGTAGTACAAAAAACTCGAAGAAAGCATTTAATGGAGATCCTAACAGTTAGTCCTGTATTTTGGAACATGCTTAAATTTGTGAAAAATATATTTCTTTTCCAAGCCAATTTAGCACATAGATTAAAAGCTTCAATTGGCACCCAATGTCGAACTTCTCTGATTACTGGAGCTAACTGGTTATATATAGAGAAAATTTTACTATTAGTTCATCTCGAGCATAAAAAATAGTTAATGCTGAGGCAAGTAGGAGTATTGTACGAATCATGCTGTAGATTTCTTCTTTCAAAAAGATTTTTCTTATATGTGTACTTTTTTCATGAACAGGCTTTGAGGGGTCGTCTGGCAATGATGAGAGGAGAAAGAAAATCTGATTTTGAGAATTCTGAGGATGAAAGGAGGACGAGACTTGGTTCCCTAAAAAAGAAAGCACTGAATGGGTCTTCAAAGTTCAAGCATTCTCTTAAGAAGAAGAGCAGTAGAAGAAAGAGCGATATTCGTGGCAGCTCTGTTTCAATTGAGGATATCCAGGGTGCGAGCTGCAAGCTGTTAAGGCATTTTGGCAAGCCTTTATGTTGGATGAGTTGCTGCCACACAATTTTCATTCGTGGCAGCTCTGTTTCAATTGAGGATATCCGGGGTGCGAGCTGCAAGCTGTTAAGGCATTTTGGCAAGCCTTTATGTTGGATGAGTTGCTGCCACACAATTTTCATGATTATTATACAACACTTTTGCTACTTTAAGTCAAATGCTCTCATCTGGATTGAAATATAAAATGCATCCCGGATCACTCAGTAGTCTTTCCGGATAAGTTATTTTCCTGTTTCTTGTAACTTTTTAGTACGTAGTTGGAAGGTTAGAAGGCAAACTTACTCACATGAACTCTTAAAATTGTCATCATATTGGTTTATGATAAAGCATGCAAACATGGTTTTGTATCTCTTTATGACAGGAAATGCTCTGGTTCCGCATTTTTTTCCCTCTTTTGAGTCAGCAACTATTTAGACTTTTGTCGAAGTATTGAGAAAATATGCTTGCAGGTTTTTAAAGAATGAAATTTGATATTGAAAAGGCAAAACGGACGCGGACTGATATGATCCAATGGAAGAAAGATTTTGGTACTGACACAATTGCAGAGGTAAAACCTAATAATTTTCCCATTTGTAACTTGGGTAAAACCACCTGATTACCTTGTGTCTTTTACTCTTCACTCTTCTAGTTTTAGCTTGAGTCACATTTCCTTTCTCCCACTAGGATTTTCAATTCCAAGATTTCAATGAAGTTTTGAAGTATTACCCCATGGTTATAGAAGAAATTCTAAAGATGATTGAAATGAGAGTCGTTCTTTTATTCATTGAGAAAACATCAATATATAGTATAACTCAATAAACTAAATATGTAAAGATAAATAACAATTCCTAAAATTAAGCACATCATCATAATCATCAATCATCATGATCAATTTGTCTTCAATGATTCCTTGCTTTCCTCCACCATATATTTTTGTCAAGATTTGTTGCTGCTAGTACCCTCCCTCAAACGTTGACGGGGTTGGAGGCAAAGTTTGTTGCAAAAATGAATGAATGCTGTTTTGGATACTAATGTTGTGAAAAAAAAAATCACCATTTTTTTAAATCTTCATCCTTGTGAAGATATGTCATATGTTGTGGCGGTGTGAATTCGCTTTTTTTTTTTTTTTTTT